GTTATTCGTGTGTAATAATGCATATATTAAATTAAAAGTACAAACGTTGGATCAACGTACAATCAACCTTGGACCTCTTCAGCATATTATACTAATAGTATTATATCTGGATAATAGTATATATGCTATTTGAAGATAGACCTATTTAAAAATAGATAGAAAATAAAATTTGTATTGCTTAAATGGCCTCGAAAATTTGAAAAAGTGTCATTTTTCATTACTATTTTAATGCTCAAAAGGTCACGTTTTGTCGCTTTTCTGCTAACAAGCAATCATTATTTCACTTTTTTTTTTTTGGTTTAATGACTGCATAGCAGCGTTGCAATTAGTGTAATGCGTCATGTCGGACGGTTTCATTACTTGCTTGTTTCACGAAAATTGCGAATAGCTTTATATTTTGTCGGAAAATTGGTAGTGCGGCGTTTGGTGTCATGAAATAGGAAATTTCGAAAAATTAATGTATAGGAGGTCAAGTATTCAGTAGATATCGCGCGCGAGAGTATTAATTCCAACGTTAATCGAAAGCGTTCGTTAAATTTTGTGCGCTACAAATAGTTTCTAATGCACCTCCAAATCGTCGTTCGTCGATTATGCTTTCACGAACGAGCCACATGTCCGCGATTCGCATATACGTCAATCAAGTCGGCGTTGAACTCACATTAGCGTTAAACGTATACGCGGCTGTATTTGTGCATCATCGTCGATCATGCAAGTATTTCCGCGCTCGTTAACAATTAATTAGACGAGAGCAATAAAATTCGCACACAAATATATCGGATCGATACGTGAATGGAAAGATAATGGACGAACCTGAACGTTTGGATGAAAAAAATGATGCTTGTGATGTGTGTGTGTGTGTGTGTGTGTGTGTCGCGACAAAAAGAACATTTTACTGCAGGCATTGTCTACTTTTAATTGATTTAAAACTTTGACATTTTGCAATAACTTTACAATAACTTTACAATATCTTTACAATAATCGGAATATATTTTGTAATACATTCTTTATATTAACAAATTAATACTAATTAATGTCTGAGGATCTTTTCATTAATCTCTGATTAAATTAATTGATAATTAATGCTTGTTTCTATTAATGTAGATTAACGTAAATCAGTTTAATTTACTCTTCTTTTTTCTTGTTTTTAAAATTAAAAAAACATAAAGAGTTAGTTGAACCGAGATTACAATTAAACTGCATTGGTAGAAAACGAGCATAAATCGACCATCGATTGTCAATCTTGAAACTAAATGTTATTTGTCTCACAATAAGAAGAGGAAGAGAAAGAAGTTCTGATACATTTAACTGCTATTGGCACTTCTACGAGTCAATCGTCGATTAACTTCACTAGAAGTTGATGAAAGAAGTTTTAAACCAAATGCAATCACATTTTAATCACATTTTTATACACGGAAAGGACGCAAATAATTTGCAAATAATTTGGTTGCACCAAAATAATAATGTAGGTTATTTAAATATGCGCTCTAAATTTTCGGGAATAAAATTTCACTCCAAGAAAATTGATAGTTGCGCCAGTCCGGCAAGGAGTAAATTCACTTCACTCCTTCAGGAGTAAATTTCTTAATCTAAAAAGTCAACATTCTTTATGATTAATATCTCGTTTCGCGAGCGATGTTTTCTTCTGCCATATTCGTTCATTTTGTGCAAAAACATGTCGAATGAGCCTAATAATTTTTATATTAGATGTAGGGAGGTTAAACTTAACATTTGTCAGAGTGAAATTTTAGTCTCTCTCTCTTCGAAGAGTGAAATTATTCAGATTGAAAATTGATTCCCATTTAGAGTGACTCTAAGAGTGAAAATTTCACTCTTGCAACTGTCACTCTTTGGGAGTGAAATATCACTTCTAAAAATTTAGAGCGTGAATAATGTACAAAGATTTTGACATTTGGGCGTCCTTATTTTGATGATTCAACAAAATTACTTTTCAGATCTGTATCTAGTTAAATTTTCAGATATTTCTGCAACACCATTTTTTTTCTCATCCTTATTTCTTAAGCAATTTGACTTTATTACATTTTATCTCTCTCGGTTATTAATTCATTTTTCCTGTTTCTTCGTTTCCCCAATTTTTTTTTTTTTTTTTGGTCTTGCTGCAAAAAAAGACTGACAATACTCGTTATCTCTCGCGAAGTACCACGTTCCAGCTGCCAGACTAGTTTCAAAGTGGTAAAATCATGTCTGCCTTGACAAACGGCAAAACAATTGCCGCGAGTGTTTGCACGTCGCACTCAATTACGTTCTCGAGCCAATATGCGCGGACGATGCGAAGCGAGACGAGTGCTTTTGTCCCGTTTGTGCCTCTCTGTGTACTCGCGTCTCTGATACGTGCCACATTTTGTCGCGCGCACTGATTGTAAGGACTTCATTCGTATTCGTAATCATAGGACCAGTCGGTGACGATTGTAACGTTCCCGATTCTTAGGTCGATACTAGTACAAGCCATCCGGTGAATACCAAGCAAACGAGACGATTTTTAATTATTCTAGTGACGCGGTGTCGTAAAACGCCGCTGGGGGTGGCTACGCAATCTCCGTAGTCGCCGTCGTTGTCATTATCATTGTCGTCGTCGTCGTCGTTGTCGTCGTCGTTGTCGTGGCACGCTTAAAACGTATACGAAGCAAATTCTCGCACGTGTTTCCGCGCATTAGCACGTATGCCATCCCCCGCTACGTGGTCCCGAGCGGTGCATTCGCACTCGAGCAGCCACCATCCGCGCAATTATCCTGGATCACTGACTATGAACCGACAATTAGCGGCGCGAGACTGAATGCGACCGCGATGTTTCCAAACTCGGCACCCGCGAACTCGCCGCGCAGATATTTCCGCAAGTTAGAAACGGGATGCTGGTGCGATTCAGTGGAAGTGACATAATCTTCGCCCATGTAATTACTTTGGATTGCTATGAGCGACAAGGAGCTGCGCGAATGAGCAAATGTTATGTAAGTTCACGCCAGCGCGAAAATTCCGATGCTGCTAGAATTCAGGAGACTTTGGGGAGGGGATATATTCCCAGTACGATTAGTCTTTTCATTCACTGAAGTTAACGTGTAATTTTATACATTGATATCATGTGACTTAATCTGTACGGTTAATTTTATAGGTGAAAAAATATACGTGAAAATCGCATATCTTATAATGCATATCTCATATTCTTGGTTTTATGTGTTGTTTAAATTTTTGATACATAGCAGTTATCTAGTATAATTACTAGATAATTATGTATTGTAGTTATAAACAGATCTAGACCTTGTTTTTGAAATAACGCCGTGCAAATCTGATTTTCAGTCTTAAGTACGTATTGGTGTCAATTAGCATCTGAGAATTTCTTTGAGCATGTGTTTCTCATTAATTCGCGATTAGTAATGCAAGACTGCGCGCGTTGATTAGAGGTAGACGACTGCGAAAAAACTTAACTTGCTTTGCGAAGGTTCTTAAAGCTCCGATACAGCGTAATGGAGCAGAGATTTCTTGCGCCAAACGCTACACGTTTGATTTACGGAATATTTTACTAGTGATTATGTTTTTCTACGCGAACGTTAAAAAGTGTGTAATAGAAGTGTATTATACTCGCACGAGAAGAGAACACGGCATGAAAAAGCATCGATGATATTTACAATTGACACCTACAAATTCAAGTAATGTAATAAGTGCGTTTATAAATGTGATTTATTTTTCTATGGAAAAAAATGACACTGTATTCTCTAAATCCTACGGATTGGAAAATCTCATTCTGAAGAGTGAAATCTCACTTTTAAAGATAAAAAATTCTTTTAAGACTGGCAGAATTTTCACTTTTCAGAGTGAGATTCTATTTTAAAGAATTTAGAGAATACTACATAAGTAATACGCAATAGATTTACAGATTTAAATGTATTAATTTATTATGCAGTACAGTGTCACTTTTACGCGGAAAATTAAATCACACGTATATAAAGACACTTATTATTACACTTATTACGTACTTGAATTTGCAGCATGGACTGCAAAGGTTACACACTGCAGTAGTACTTTAGTCTCAGCTACGTAATAAGTTTTCTAGATGAACGCGAAAATGAGAATATTGTACCAGATTTCGTCGTTGACATTCAATTACGTAGATTAGTCTCGCAGGAGTATGTTATCCTGAGCATTTCCGCAAGAACGCGGTAAGTTTCGTCGGTGAAGTCAAGTTCTCGTCGGACAAGTTAGTCGTTCGCTAACGTTCTGAGGATTTCGGATGAAATTGCAACGTACCTTGGCTGACCGCGATCGCCTCGATAACCAGGAGAATACCAGCGAGTACCAGCACGGCGAGCCAGCGACACAGCATTTTTAACACCTCGATCGCTCGCTGCACTACCGATCCTTGCTTGTACTCGCTATCGTGAAGCACGACGTATAATCATCGATTTTTACATATATTCCCGGGTCCGCACACGTCCGTGCAGTGTCTTCACTGTGTCATATCATTCGCAATGAAAACAGAATTGAGTTTTCTTGCCAAATCGATCGAGTGCCTCCTCGGAAGAGTGTGGACACACTTAAGACTTTCACCGTAAAACCATACACATGTTCCGTATGCTTCACTGTATAAGCAATTTTTAATTCTTACATGAACATTTGCGTTCCGATAGAGAAATTACACCACGATTAACACCCAGCGAGGAGATTAATCATTCACCACTGTAATGGCACGATTTTATTAGAACTATCAACTCTGAACGGCGCGGAAGCTTCCCAAGCGTAGAAGACGCGGTTGGTACGATGTATCAGCGGTGTATCGTCAGATGCTATGCGCGTATTGATCGTAAATCCTCGACGGTAATCCACGGTAATCAAGGTCTAAATGCTCACAGACGATGTCCCGTTTTCACGCGGCCGAGGTGCGACCTGCACGCGTCCCCGATGACAGCCGCGCTCACGTGGAGCTTTCGCCTGGACGACGAGCGTCGCGACGCGCGACCCGCGAGTACCCTGTCTCAGGCGCAGCATCCTCCGGCCGAGACGCGCGCGTCGGCAGCATTCGATGGGCCAGCAATCAGGGTTGATCCGAGTCGCGTTTGTTTGTTTTTTTTTTTCCTTTTTTCCCCCGATTAACTAGCAATGTTAATCCGGACGATCGTCATCGTACACCTCTCTGATCGTCGTCGCTCTTCGTCGTCGCCGTCGACGTCGTCCTCCCGCGCGACGACGTTGAACCCGCATGGACCAGCCGCCGGCGCGGATGAGGCCTGCCGCTCGGCGTCGCGGCGCGAAATGATCCTGCGGGGGATACTTCGTCACCGCGCGCCTGCGCGATGACTTTGCTGCGTTCGCCGCGGATAAAGTGCGGACCGGTTACGTGCAGACCGCTTCTCTCCTCTCTCTCTCTCTCTCTCCCTCTCTGCCTCCTCTTCTGTCTCTCCTGATCTCTCCTCGTCTATCTCGCCAACCGGCGGCGCCGCACCGCGGCCGCTGAGGGATGACCGCTGCGGGGGTGCACCGGAGCACGACGACGTTCGTCGAGGAGTCCGTCTTGTTGTCGACCCCGCGGCTGTCTCCGACGTCTTCGCGAGAATTATGATGTTGTCGCTGCTGACAGATCGGCGAACTTTGTTCGTATCAGACACCGGTTATTAGCGGCTGTCGTAATTCTTCTTGAACCGTATGAATTGCCTCCTGTCCTGAATACGCAGCCTGATTACATAATGCAGTCGCGAAGATTATCTTTTTTTCTTCGGTAAACAGTCGGCAGTATAATTAGACTCTGCGGAATAGTATTTTGTATTCGCAGATATTGCGAATGTATGTTCGCACTTCAATGGAATAATAGGTCATGCTTTAGACGCATCATTCATGTAATTCCACTTTAGTGGAATAATAGGCACGCTTTAGGCGTTTAATTTATATTGAATAGATTATATTGAATAGGCTCTAAATAATCTTTATTGCGATCAATATGTAATAATACGGTACACTGGAATACCATTTGCTCCGCACACGTTGTATGCGCTCTCTCTCTCTCTCTCTCTCTCTCTCTCTCTCTCTCTCTCTCTCTCTCTCTTTCTCTTTCTCTCTCTGTTTTTTTCTCTCTCTATTTACTTTACCTTCTCTTCCTCTTTTTCTTCCAGTTGATAATTTCACGCTTGCACTACGTATCCACTGAACTCTAGCAAGACTCAGCAAGATTGCCAAACTACAACACATTGGTAGAGACGCGTAACGTGTTCCTGTTTACAGAAAGTTATCGACGTGAATACCGTTGCCAAGTATGTACCACAGACTCGCCCCTATCGACAATAACGCTGTTAATGTTAGCGTGCGAGGTAGAAACTCTCGATTGTGAACGCTATATCAGTACAAGAGCTTATTGAAGCTAAGATCTATAAGTGCTCTATCCAAAAGCTTGGCGATCCACGTACTTGCGGAATCACGGACTAATAATTCCGTCGAAAGTGTTATCGAATTACATTGTGGAATTATCTAGAAGCTTTCGTATAGTCGGGGATGGTTTCGACACAAATAGAAATTTGTCTTATAGTACATAGACATTAATTTATCCATCGACAAACCCTTCATTATTGTAATTCACTATTTTGTTTGTTGCTGAAGATATCCCTATTTTTGGCACAAATTAATTGTGAATTCGTGCTTGATCCAATAATTCTCAATTCCTCTTGAATTCACAAATTAGTCCACTGCAATATTAATATTACTAGCTTTTGATCATCGAACAAGAATTAATTATATCATGGACGGATTTATTTTCAAATCTTTCGAGATAAACGGTTTATTGATCGGATTTTTTTTTTAAACATATTTGAGAGTTTGCGAAAATTTTGCAACAGCAGTTTGATGTCGACAGAACTATTTCAATGTAATGTTGAATCCGCTGAAGTGAGGTTTTGACTTTCTTTTAGGCGAATCGCCACTCTGTTTAGATCATAGAACGAGCTTTGCCGGACGGCTTCACGGGTTCCATCGCAACGTGCAGGCGGGCTTTAGTGATTCTAAAAGGATACGTGCCAGCCGCGTGCTTTCAGATGGGACGGGATTGATCGGGCGGATCTAGAGCAAAATGTTCCGCCTGTTACACGTTTATACGAGATCGTGCGGCACGGCATACCCGTGGTACAGCCGTGGTATAGCCTTCGTTGTTGAGTGGTATTTGTTCAAGCCTGCAGTCGGTACACCGAACGCTACACGTTAACGAGAATTCTGCGTAGTTGATCTTACGAGCGGAATAATATATCAGGGATCTATTGAGTTATGATCCTGATGTGAATCGGACATTGCTACATTAATCAGTTGCTACATCAATATGTTCTACGGTATGCAACAGCATACATCGTGTTGAGACAGATTCCGACGTGTATTGTTCAATTTTCTTCACGTGTTACGTAAATGTATCCTAATTAATCTTTAGCATCACCATTAAAGCGAATAATAATATAATGAGTATACTTGTAATATCTATGTCTACACTTTTATCTAGGTCTAATATTCATACTTAATCGTTTTCTCTTAATTTGATTTCCCGAAAGATTATTTCCCTTTCTCTAATTAATCGAATCAAAGATTTATTTTTAATAAGTTTATTACAGTTTTTTTAAGATTTGGGAATTTTTGGGGGGATTATTTCTTTCAGATTGATTGTGTAAATGTCCGATAATCTTATCGGCGCGCAATTATTATTTCTGAAAATTAATTCAATTTAAATAAATGTATATTATATAGTAGTTCAACATCCTAACTCGGATCGGTAGGCGCTTCGTACTTTAAAATTTCAAAGATTTATTGTTTTTATTGTATGTGACAATAAATTGTTACTTGTTTACAAGCTTTAATTGCAATGTACAAAATATTAATAGGAGTTTAATTCGTACTGCTTTCGACTGACTATTAAACTATAATATTTAGTTGCAAAAAATAGAAATTATTTTATATATAATGAGAAGCTACATAAATTACACATAAAGAAACAATCTGTTTTAATTAAAGATAATTGTTTAATGTATTAATAAGTAAAATAAAATTAAATATGATAAGAACAAAAATATTATAACATTAAACGTTATAAGATTAAAGTTATTAATAACGATATTTATCACGCTATGCAAGGTTTTCTTATTTTGCTTATCTGTTGTTAATAATTATCTTATAAATATTCTGTCAAGTTATGTGCAATCGTGAAGTTGAAATTTTGAACTGATAACATTTCGCATATAGTATCTATAACTCGGTTAACATTTCGACTAAATATTTAGTCGACATGCATCTGCTTGCACAACACTCAAAGATTCATCCCGAAACCGCAAGAGTCGAATTTCCAACGTGCGTGGAACGTCAAATATTATGGCTGTCTTGATCTAATCCCTTGCTGGCGTCGTGCATGTAAGCAATCGGTTATATCAGTAGTATTCAAAACCGTACAGTATAGCGTTTAGCGTTAATCACGCAGCGTGAACATCGAAGGTCCAGCATGTTTTCGCGCAATTTCAGATCGTCAGCTCCGATTTCCTAGAATTCCCACCGCAGCTTAGAACAGATTAATTTTTGCGATAACTCTAATGATATGACTAATTTTTGCGATATTGACATTTTTACAAAGATCAATCGGAGTAATACCAATAAAGTAATGAATATTTCATTAAAATATATAGTTTGTTGTAATCAAATAATTTCCGTAGTTTAAAATTGCATTAGAATTGTAAGGGAAAATATAGTTATTGATTTTATAATAATTATTGATTTACTGTTATAAAATGAAGTAATTATTATGAATCTGTTAAAATATAATACACAATTTTGCTTGAAATAGTATTTTTTCGTAAATTATCACGAAGTTTGATATTCATTTCTTGAAATATGCGATACATATCTTTATGATTCAAAAATTTATACTACATAGATATATTATATAATATATGTATATCTTGTATATAAAATGTATATTATATAGATATATCTATATAATAGGTAGATATATCTATTATGTAGATAGATAAAAATCTATTAACTAATTACTTAAAAAGTCTGTTATATAGACATAGATTTATAAGTAAAGATGCTTATCATATTGAAACTTTATAAATAATGTACTTTATAAATAATGTACTTTTGTGTAAAAAAGCATGAAAAATTAATTGATCTTCAGAATGTAAGCGATGATTGTACGTTATAATCCTGAGGGGAATATTAAATTTCTTTCTGTCTACATAAATTGCTCTTCGTTTTTTAAATAACAAACTACCGTATTTATTTAAAATACGATTCGTTTTTCATCCACGGTGTTTTGATATTTTATCCAAACGATATTACAACGTCGTTATAATACCCTGAGATTATATCGACATAAAATCGCAATAACTCGCCGAGCATATTTACGCAATCCCAGACCGAGAATGCTTTGTGTTGGTAATATTCACTCGAATCGCCTGTCCCATGAGTATAAATTCGGCTTTTATTTCGATAATCGTCGGGGAATTAAACGCTCGCAGAGTTTTATCACGAGAGAAGGCGTGGTATTAAGTCCGATTTTAACATTATTTAAATTAAACCGTCGCGTCGTGACCACTTGGCGAACAAACAGTTGCGATATCGTTTCGTGCCGACCGGTCTAAACTCGTTAATGGCTAATTATTTTTTATGTTATCGGCGACAAATATAATTGCAAATCACATGCGCGCAATGTAAATACGGATGTAAAAACGTATTTTCGATATTTCATGCAGTAAGTGTTGCAAGGAGGTTAACCCCGATGGTTACGCAAAAATTCACAGATATCTCCCGCATAGATACATGTATATATGCGTACGCACTCGTGCACGCATTTTCATGTCATATCGTGCCGATTATCGATTTTAGCATGGCACGAAACATTGCGGTTGAAGATTAGCGTTGTTTGATCACGCATTTACTGGGAAATTCGCGTTGATGTTACGTGACGTGATATTCAATTTTATGTTTCGGGCTTGTAACAATATTAATCTGTTAGATCTAAATTTTATTTTGATATATATTGTTTATATAAATTATAAGAAAGAATCTTTCTTTTATTTTATTTATTCTTATTCGTCTAATTTGTTCATTATTTGTTCATTCATTTATACATATCTTGTTGAAAAATGACGTTTTCTCACTCGTAATTATTGCGATTAATATCAATATGTCACCATATGTCTTATTGATCGAATAATTGGTGAGATGCTCCTCGAAATTTCCAGATTCTAATTCTGAAATGATATTTTTTGCAATAAATTC